CTGCGAACGAAATAAAAACACGTCGTCACAATCTTGTTGCACATCGAACCTTGTACAACATCGAACCATGTTGGCCATCGAACCCGGCTAGACGTCAAACCCTGGCGGGCGTCGAACCTTGTCGGACGTCGAACTTTGGCGGACGTCGAATGCCACCGGACGTCAAACCTCTCCGGTCATCGAAACTTGATGGTCAGTGAACGGCGAACGTTGAGCAGCCACCACCCCACGCGTCGCCAGCACAGTCCTCGTAATCGGAACGTGGTCTTTTTAATCCGCCATCACAACCATGGCCACACCAACCGAATTGATCGCGCAATCAAACACGGGAAGAAGTTCAAATTCTGGCGAGCTTGTGCAGCTGTTCGAACACGCTTTGCAACCCCGGTCCACAACCACAGCCGAGGACGTGTAAAAATTTGAAGTCCGCCGGGATCTGAACTTTAAAAAATTGTTGGACGGTGAGTTTGGCAGCCAGGTGTGTCTCTCCCACGCAATGTCGCCAAACTCGGATCCCGACAAACTTCAGGTTCCCGCCTTTCGCAAGACATGTTTTTCGCTCGCCTGCTGGCCTGTGGATCCGAACCTCGCTTGCACGGTTCCTTTCACAATTGTCAAGTCCGGACCTCGGTGAACTTTAGATTGGTGAAAATGCGAAGTCCGCGAGGATCCGGACTTTTCCTGCACGGTTCCTTGTACAGACGTCAAGTTCGGACCCCGACGAACTTCGCTTTTCGCATTCTGCGGGTTCAGAATGTGGACTTTCTGGCCCCCGGGGGATTGCCACAACTTCGGATTCGTAACAATGTGAAGTCCGCCAGGATCCGAACTTCTCGCGCACGCCTCCTCGTTCAATCGCCGAGTTCGCCGATTGTTTTTCTCCCACGCGGTTTCGACAAGTCCGGATCCCGGCGAACATTAGGTTCCCACCTTTCGCCTGACATTTTTCCCGCTCGCCTGCCCTCCCGTGGATCCGAACCTCGCGTACCCAGTTCCTCGCACATTCGCCAAGTTCGGACCCCGACGAACTTCGGATTCGTGAAAATGCAAAGTCCATCGGGATTCGAACTTCTCGTGCGCGGTTCCTCGTATACTCGTCAAGTTCGGACCCCGGTGAACTTCGCTTCTCGCATGGTGTGGGTTCTGACTGTGGGCTTTCTCGCCCCCGGTGGTTTGCCACAACTTCTGTTTCGTAAAAATGCGAAGTCCGCCTGGATCCTTACTTCTCGTGCATGGTTCCTCGTCCCCTCATTGAGTTCGCCGACAGTGTCTCTCCCGCACGATTTCGCCAAGTTCGGATCCCAGCGAACTTGACCTTTCCTCCGTTCGCAATACATGTTTGCGGCCCACCTGCTGGGCCGTGGATCCAAACCTCCCATGCACGATTCCTCGCACAATCGTCAATTTCGGATCTCGGGGAACTTCATATTCGATAAAATGCGAAGTCCGCTGGGATCCGAACTTCTCGTGCACGGTTCCCCGTGCAGTCGTCACGTTCGGACCCCGGCATGCTTCTCTTTTCGCGTGGTGTCGGTTCTGACTGTGGACTTCCTGGCGACCGGTGGATTGCCACAACTTTGTATTCGTAAAAATGTGAAGTCCGCCAGGATCCGAACTTCGTGGAAGTTTGGGACGACGAGTTTGGGAGACAGCTTTGTCTCTCCCACGCAGTCTCGCCAAGTTCGGATCACGACGAACTTCAGGTTCCCACCTCTCGCGGGACATGTTTGCGGCTGGCCTGCTGGCCGGTAGATGTGAACACCAACCAAGTCGACCACCCGAAATCAGATCTTTGAGCGTACGCTCCGTCAAATGTCATAACATGACGTGTTTACGAGTGTTTAGGTGCCCGTGTGTGTCATTTGGTGTGTGCGCGTGGTGTGCAGGGCGCATAATGGAGGCGACCTTCTCGACACTACGGATCATGGAGTCGATGTTTTCGACACCACGGACCATGAGTCCTGAGACGCACATTCGCTTAGCAGATCCGTTTCCTCCTTGTGCAAAATCCGTGAGGCATTTCAACGGTGTCACTTTGATCCACGGGGCGACCGGTGAGGACTTTGAAGAGGACCCATGGACGACCGTCGTCCCGTGCATGGACCTGCATCTTGACAGTTTGTGCGAGGGCAATTGGGACACGATGGAGAGTCGCTGCCCTTGGGCAAGCCAGTACAAGTTCGCCAACCTGTTGGAGTTTGGGAATCTCATCCGACTTCTTGACGCTGTCCTTGGACACAAGTTCCTGAACCGTATGTGCAAAGTACTCAGCTGCATTAGCCCCCATTTCAGTCGCCTCGAGTGTCACTACGTCAGCTCGTCGCCATGAGCCTGGGGAGCCTCGCGGAAACAAGAGCTGGTGGACTGCGCTCGTCACTGCTCGTTCCTGGAGCAGTACCCATTCCGTTGCCCTGGAATTTTTCCACAAGCTGTGTCATACTGTTGTGTGCGGTTGACTGTGTCCGGTTCCGATTTCGCCAGAGTTCTATTTGTCGCCACT